CCTCGCATTTTGGTACTGAGGCAGCTCTTGCTTCAACTATAGAAGTAGTCAGAGATTCAAGAGCATAATTAATTTCATCTTTGGTTTGCAAAGGAATGTTTGGATCGAAGTTATATTCCATAAATGTTCGATACCGCTCCCAATTAGCTCTATGGTAATTGAAAGTAGAGCTGTTGGGATTAGAAATTATTTCTTGGGATATTTCAAAAGTTACTGGAAGGTGATCAGAACCGAAGTCAGCATGGGTAACCAATTGGCTACAAAGTTGACATGAATCAGTTAAGACCAAATCAATAGTGGAGGGATTTCTTGCAGAAGAAAAGCATGTTGGGCTGTTTGGATATTGAATAGTGTAATAACCTGCAGAACAATCATCAAACAGAATATTACCATTGGAATTGCTTTGAGCATTATTCCATGAGCGGTGTTTTGCATTAAAATCACCAATAATGAAGAATTTAGACCTGTGACGGGTAAGTTTCTGAAGGTCACCTTTAAGAACATTCTTTTGCTGGCCTACGCATTGGAATGGCAAATAGGCAGCTATAAACGTAAGTTATCCAAATTTTGTTTCAACAGAAACTCCCAAAGTTTCAAAAACTTTGGTTTCAAATGAAGAAAGAATTTTATGCTTGATTCGTCTATGAATAATGATGGCAACGCCACCACAGGGTCCATCAAGACGATCATTTCTATAAATCAAGTAATTTGCGTCCTTCTTAACCTTATGGGCAGGTTTAAGGAACGTTTCAGTTATAACGGCAATATGCACGTTATGAACTCTTAAAAAGTTAAATAGCTCGTCTTCATTATCTTTAAGAGATCGAGCATTCCAATTTACAATATTTAATGCTTTAAAATCCATTACTGAATTTTAAAGTCATGACAATATTATTTGCAAATTTTACTCCAGTTTGAATAGCATCAAACATGGAGTTAGATTTAAGCATATCAGAAATCATGTCAATTAATGAATTCTGTAAAAATTCCATTTTGGGGGCAGTAATGCTTCCTAAGTCAAAATTGTCAAAATTTCCATTAGAACGTTGGTTAGTATTTTGATTTCTACCCGCTGCAATAGCAGCATAGGTAGCTCCATTAACTCGCTGAACATTGTTAGCAGCGAGGGGAGTAGGTACAGATGAAACATTTGAAGCAGGGGAGATATTTGTACCTACGGGTACGAATGTAGAATTTGTTCCTCGCTGACCGTTGTTAACAGCAGAGGAATTTGTACCTGGTCGGAAACGTGGAGCGTTTCCTACCTGACGGTTAGAACGAGATTGTAGGATCGCTTTGCGAGTCTTACATTCCCAAAAATTGGATTTGTGGTTTTCACCACAATTTGAACATTTAAATTTCTTAGGATCTTCCTTCACAGGACAGTCGTCCTTTGCGTGAGAGGAATCACCACAATTCATGCATTTAGCTGGCATGTAGCAATTTTTAGTTCCGTGACCCCATCCCTGGCACTTACGGCACTGGGTGAGGTTTTGGAAATTTCCTCCAGTCTTCCTGAAGTGTTCCCACTTCACTCGGACATGGAGCATAAGGCTAGCTTTTTCTAAGGCCTTAAGGTTGTTTAGTTCACTAGACTTGAAGTGAACTAAATAAAAATCATTAGAAATCCCGTTGCGCGAATCGCCAGGACGGGATTTCATTTTCATTTTGATTACTTGGAGTGGCACAACTCCAAGTAATTTTGCCAGTTCATCTTTGATCTGATCCAGGGATTCACCACTGGGCAGTCCTTTCATGACAACCTTGAACACACGTTCAGTTTTGGTGTCGTAAGTAAAAAATTTGTGCTTCTTCTCAGTAAGATACTTGAGAAGACATTTAAATCCGTCCAAGGTTTCAGCCAATACACGGCATTCACCCCGACGTCCAATTTGTAGTGAAAACTTAACTTTCACGAAATTCAAAAGTTCCATGCGAAGAGCATGGAAATCGGTAGTGGTTATCACAATAGGGGGAATCTTTTCCTTCTTGGCATTAAGCCGGGAAAGTTTACTAGAATTTTTCTTGGATGATGGATCATTCTCATCATCCGTGAGCAAATCAAATTGATTACTCAAATTAATTTCATCAGAAGGGGGGTCAAGAGTTTGCCCCTTTCTTTTGCGTTTAGGCGCCATGGCGGCAGTAAATTTTTATCCAAATCGACTTCCAAGCAGATTACTATAAGAATCTGAAGGATCGAAGAGGAATTTTCCAAATCGATATCCAAGAAGGATTACCTCGGGTAGGGTCCAAACAAGGATCGAAGAGGAATAAGAGTTGAACAAGGTAGAAAATTTTTACAGGTTGAGCACTGAAAAGTGCTGTTTAAATTTGTTGTAGCTTTAGGTAGTAGTAACACTTCCTTCAACAAAAAGCAAATAGATCCGCACGGCAAGAGAGCACGATGCGGACTGTCTATAAAAATTATGCTTTCCCAATATGGTACATTCCTTCACTATAAACCTGTCATTTCTAGCCTATCTGAACTATTTAATAAATGGAAATCATAACATGAGTTACGCTCCTCCTGAGCGGGCCCTCCGCATCCTATCTCTGTCTTATCTCAAATGCCAATGGTTTGAATGTATCAATATATACATTGGAAATGACGTTCAATCAAATAAACCCATACCCCACTCACTTGGCCAGGCTTCAGAATCGTCCAGTGGGCAGTGCGCTCTACACTCCAAGTTCCCTTTCTTTCAAATTTACCCCAAATTTTATATTTTACCCCTTTGAGTGTTGATTAATCACAATGAAACATTGTGACAGAGCACGGACTTGAGGTTACTAGAGTATTAAATAATCTAGGTCCTATTTAGGATTATATCTGAAAAATCCAAATTTGGCCAACGCCCACCCTCAACATGTCGCTGTATGAAGGGCCAAAAACGGATTGGGTAGATCGACAGGCAAAGTCGCCTATACGCATCTACGGAACAATAAAGAATCTCTTTCTAGCAACTTGATCAGCTAATTGGTCAAAAAGATAAGCCCCCAAACAGAAAGATGCCCCAATGAGTGGGGAGAAGAGCCCGCCATTTATCCACGAAATGTTATCAACAGGGAGTTGGCATTCCCACTCTCCCCGTCCAAATCGCTGTTGGACCGTCCCTGACCGCCCTGTTGGACCGTCGCTTCCCTTTTATATATGTATTTCAATCAGTGTCGTCGCGTAACCTCACTTTTTACCTGTGCACCAACTTTCAAAACCAGATTTATTGCCATATTCATACTCGAATTGGTTGAAAAATACTCCTAATCTTCTAGTTTACTCGAAATCTATCCATTGGAAGCAATATTTTGATAATTGTGTATGTTTTGAGAGTTGGTGCACAGGTAGATTGAGGTTAAGGCGACGCCACTGATTTCAATGTATATACGAATTGATTGTTATGATTATTGTCAATAATACTTACATTTCGATGAAGATCGTGCTACTTATTTTACCTGTTTTGTGAAACTCATCATCACAGAATTCGACCATGAATCTTAGACCAGGTCCATCAACAATACACTCGTTCCGAGAAGGGGCTGATGGTCATCTTTTTCTTCTTCTTCAGGTTCACTCGAAATGAAGGCTCGGTGCGGTTAGTAATATCAAACAGTGTTACATGCAAACGAAAAAGAGATACAGTTTCATCTGAATACCCAACTAACCATATCTCATTGACATTGTCTCACTCTGAACCAACATTTAAAGTTATTTTGTGATTATATGGTTACTTTGGTACTCACATGATATGTTGTGCAAGTACCACAAGTTCAACAACGCCCAACTATGGACAGCTCAATGTTAATACCATTTACTCCTTGAATCAGCGTACACCAACATGATAATCTTCTAAGAAACACCTAAGAATGTATATAGATAAGGCTCAAAATACAGTTTTAACTAATGGTACTTTATAAACATCAAGCTGTCCAATATTGGACCCTGCCAACACACGGCGCCTGCACGGTAATGTGGGCCGTCAGAATGGTTCATCGGTTGCGAAGTGAAGTGCTTCTCAAACTGAAGCGATACATTTCTCAATTTTTTTAACGTTATCCTAACGTAAACTTAATATTATGACCCATATGCCCTTCCACGCCCGAAACGCATCCACCACACAAAATCAAATAAAAATGTTTCTGTATGACAAACACGTCCAGACATAAACGAGAATATTGGTGTATATCTTCACTGTAACAACTACGGGTAATCATCGAAAGTACTTGCATTTTACTCAGGCACTTTTGAGCAAACTGTAATCACTTTCTCATACTCGAAATGTGCCACGACGGCACAACGACGCCCTATACGCTGTCTGACCAAAGCGCAGGGATGAGCACTATACAACAACTATACACAAACTATACAACTGTGATCATGGATGTGCTTATAATTTATGATACAAATAATGCTCATGCTCATAGTTTGTCATCCAAGTGTGTCCGCGGCATTATTGTGATAAAACGTTTAGAAGTGGTTTCTAAAAAACCACGGAGCTCTAGGATCAGTTTCATGAGATTACCACTTTTACGGATGTTCCGAATCTCGCACAGGGCCAGACTTGTGACCTACTGGAAACTGACTATTCCCAAAAGGTGGCCAACTATCTGCTTAACAACTTCTCCGAAGACATCAGGAAGTTATCTCTTCAAAATGCCGTACAACCAGTTTATGGTCCCAATTAACTCAAATCCCATATGGGGCGTATATTCGTTAATGCCTGATCGACCTATTATAGGAATCCAGTGGCACCCGTACTATAGGAATCTTGACTGCACCTCCAGTTCGGCATCCCTATCCATACATTCAACGCACTGTGCGCCGGGCCCGTTCGCTCACAAATATTAAAAATGCAGATAGATATTCAATATTAGTTCAAATACTATCTGGTGCTAATCGAGTTTTATTTAATTAACACATCCATCTCGAAAACCACAGCATCGTGAAACGTGAGGTCATCCAAAGAACGAATACCAGATTGTTTATATTAAAAATCATTGTTCTTCATTATTTATTACTCTCATCTTCAAGTTGTGTGTCTAAGCACATTAAATGCACCCTTCTCGTGTGGAAGCTTTCGGTAAACAATAACCAGAGGGCTCTCCAAGCTCACTGGTCGCGTATTCCCCAATCTCGTCCCACCGCATCATCTTCATCATCATCATCATTATCTAATCACGAGCATCAGCCTTCTCCACGGCAAACGGAGCATCCACCGGCAGGGAACCACTGTCGGTAATCACAACGTCCTGCACCGGACGGTCACGTCCGTCGGTTTTGGTCTTCTCGATCTTTCGGATAACGTCCATACCCTCCAGCACCTTGCCGAACACGACGTGGCGTCCGTCGAGCCAGCTGGTCTGCTTCACGGTGATGAAGAACTGTGATCCGTTGGTGTCCTTTCCGGCGTTGGCCATCGACAGCCATCCGGCGCCGTAGTGCTTCAGCTTGAAGTTCTCATCGGCGAATCGCTCTCCGTAGATCGAACGGCCACCGGTTCCATCGCCGCGGGTGAAATCTCCGCCCTGGATCATAAAGTCCGGGATGACGCGGTGGAACTTGCTGTTCTTGTAGCTGGAATCGAGAGGGTAGAAAAAAGGATTGAACAATTAACTTAAATATTTACTATGTATATCAAAAAACGCTGATTTGCTACAAATGAAAATTGATTTACGTGTGCCATGATGAGTTTTTGCTCATATCAGATTCTGGTCACGAAAGCACCCTGAACGCTGCGAACATGTCTGACACTACTGAGATGAAGTACTAAGGAATTCTGAGATGGAGTCCAAAGGAAGTTTGAGATGAAGTTCAAAGAAATTCTGAGATGAAATCCAAAAGAATTATGAGACGAAGTCCAAAGAAATTCTGAGATGAAGTCTAAAACAATTCGTAGATGAAGTCCAAAGGAATTCTGAGATGAAGTCCAAATTTATTCTGAGATGAAGTTCAAAGGAATTCGGAGATGAAGTTCAAGGGAATCCTGAGATGAATTCCAAACGCATTCTGAGTTGAATTCCAAAGGAATTCTAGGATGAAGTCCTAAGAAATTCTGAGATGGAGTCCAAAGGAATTCTAATATGAAGTCCAAAGGAATTCTGAGATGAAATTCAAAAGAATTCTGAGATGAAAGCCAAAGGAATTTAGAGACGAATTCCAAAGAAATTCTGAGATTCTAAAAGAACTCGGAGATCAATCCCAAAGGTATTATGAGATGAAATCCAAAAGAATTCTAAGACGAATCTAATGCGTATTCTGTAACAAAGTTCAATGGAATTCGGAGAGGAAGTCCAAAGGTATTCTGAGATGAAGTCCAAATAAATTCTGATATGAAATCCAAATGAATTATGAGACGTAGTCCACAGGAATTCTGAGATGAAGTCTAAAAGAATGCTGAGATGAAGTCCAAGTGAATTCTGAAACGAATCCAAACGAATTCGGAGATGAATCCCAAAGGCATTTTGAGATGAAGTCTAAATAAATTCTGATTTGAAATCCAAATGAATTATGGGACGTAATCTAAATTTATTTTGAGATGAAATTCAAAAGAATTCTGAGATGAAGTCCTAAGGTACTCTGAGATGCAGTCCAAGGGAATCCTGAGATGAATTCCAAAGGTATTCGAAGATGAAGTCCAAGGGATTTGTAAGATGAAGAGCAAGGGAATTCTGATATGAAGTCCAAAGGAAGTTTGAGATGAAGTCCAAAGAAATTCCGAGATGAAGTTCAAAGGAATTCTGACATGAAGTACAAAGGAATTCTTAGATGAAGTCCACAGGAATTCTGAGCAAATTCCAAAGGTATTCTGAGATGAAGTCCAAAAGAATTTTGAAATGAAGTCCAGATTTATTCTGAGATTAAGTTTAAAAGATGTTTAAGATGAAGTTCAAAGGAATCCTGAGATGAATTCCAACGAAATTCTGAGATGAAGTTTAAACAAAATCTGAGATGAAGTCCAAAGGAATTCTTAGAAGAAGACCAAAGGAAGGTTGAGATAAATCCCAAAGAAATTCTGTGATGACGTCCAAAGGAAGCCTGAGATGAAGTCCAAAGGAATTCTGAGATGAAATCCAAAGGATTTATGAGACGAAGTCCAACAGAATTTTGAGATGAAGTCCAAAGGAATCCTGAGATGAAGTCCAAGGGAATTCTGAGATGAAATCCAAAGGAAGTTTGAGATGAAGTTCAAAGGAATTCTGAGAAGAAGTTCAAAGAAATTCTGAGATGACGTCCAAAGGAATTCTGAGATGAATTTCAAAAGGTTTCTGTGGAAAAGAAAGGAAGTTCTGAATTGAATTCCTATGCAATTCTTAGCGTAAATACAAAGGAGTTGTGAGGAGAGTTTTAATGAGGAATCTTGACAGGAGGGTTAAATTTAAGAGGAATGTCAAGATAGTTTTAATTATTGAATTCTTTTGAAGAGAGAAAAATTTCGAGGTGATAGTAAGATCAACCAGACATAAGATTTCAGACAGCGATTCGCCTTCAGGCTCATACATATTAAACCCGGATTGGAGACGAAAAATCAATTTGCAATATTGTTGAGTAATTGCACCCTAAAAAACGAATAACTGATGCATCAATTATGTAGCAAAAAGCGAAAGTCATTACTTTGGTAAAGAATTGCTATGTTTCACCAATTCAAGCCGAACAATGCATTAGGTCCTAGGTAACATTGAGATAGTGTCTTCGTCGATATTCTCTTTGCATCCTCACGGCCATATTAAGACATTCCCAGCTAATTTCAGCACACAGATCGATGAAACAAGCTATTATCTAGCATTTTTACGACAAACACGACAAGAAACGGTCCAGTACCCAAGTTACTAACGAAAGAGAAAGCCGACAGAGAGAAACGATGAATGTTACTTAGGACCTAATGCATTGTTCAGTTTGAATTGATCCGGAAGCTGTGACGTAAAGTTTGACCGGTTTATTGGCGAATCAAAGCAAAGCCAAAACTGTTCATGCGACACCTAGTTTTAAGATACGCAATTACAAAAGTGATGATGTACTAAAAAAATGTCATGTAATTTGACAGATATCAAAACGTCATTACCATTTTCACCCACTGGCCATCTGTGAGTCAATCGGCACTTAGATTTTTCCGAAGACAACAAATCAAGAAGCCCTCGTCTATCCACATAAAAATGTGTGTTCAAACTATTTAAAACGTGTTTTGCTACTATTTCAATTAATCACCTGGTTAATGTTATCTACACTTTACTCCAGGAGGTCAAGAAACTAGTTCTAGTCAAGTTCGAGTCATCATTTTCTGAATATTCAAGGTATTTGTATCAATAAACATTTCAAGCTGAACATTGCAACATTGATCGATTCTCTTCATCGACTTTCTCTTTCGTTTATAACTTGAGCACATAATCGCTTCTTTGTCTGGTTGACGTATTAGATGCTACATAAATCGATCTTTTATCGATCTGTGAACTGAAAATAAGTGGGAATGTCTTTACATGGCCGTGTGGATGCGAAGAGAAAGTCGACGATGAGAATCTGTCAATATTACTTAGGACCTAATGCAATGTTCAGCCAATGTCACCCCGTCCTACGGTATGTGACATTATTGAATGATAAAAGTTTGATGCGCTTGGAGGGGCTGACAAAATCGGGTCATTACTGTATACATTCACAGTTTTTGGGCTACTTCAGGTCTAAAACTGGAATGCCTATAATTATGAAAACTGAGCAGACTCCACCAGTTCGAGTTGCTCTCCTTGGATTTAATTCCGATCAAAAATGTTAATTCTGTGTTCACTCGGCTGCCGAAAAAAGCAGGCCACTCACGATGTGTGCCACGCGATCGTCTGTTTTCTCAGCAGCAACCATTTGTGTGGTCCTCCTCATTGTACTTCATCAGCAGTTCTTTCGGTCGATGCGTCGTCGACTTTGGAAAGCAACCGTTTCGTGATGAGTGTGTGAGCACGTTTTGCGTCCATTGCTGTAATGGACGTGCTCTGACCCTCGTTGGCGATACTGCCATACAATGAAACCACTGGAAGTGGCTTCCGTTCTGATGGAGGAAGCTTTTTGGATAGCGGAAGATAAAGTGTTTATTGTGTTGTACCTTTTGACTATAGTTTTAAGCTGAGTACTGCGGACTCACTTAAGGTGCTTGTCACTAGGGAGCCAGTGTGAACTGTCAAGCGGGAGCCAAACATTCAGAAGCAGCAAATGCAGTTACTGTTCTTATCTACCGTCAAGCATTGTAATCTCATAAAAATGATCTATACTTTTTCAAAACACATTCTTAATTTTAAGTTCAAAGATAAAAACCAACAGGCTTAGAGATGAAAGCATAAAAACCAGCATAGTTTTTATGAGGCAGCTGAGTTTTCAATTGCAGTAAAACATACTTTGGCGAAACATGTATGTAAACAAACTTTGATAGTGTCATGGGGGCTCGAGCACTCCTGGCTCAGAGCTTTTGGCGGGAATCAACTGAGAAAGAGCAAACCAGTTTTAAACTTGAGAAAATTTTCAGGCAGTTTTCCATTGGCTTGCAAAATAAAATTGGTCGACTCCGCAGTACCCAGGTTTTAAGATGTATTGTATAGTAAACAAAAATCCTCGGCTCTGTAAAGTTAATTCGATTGAGCCTTATCAAATAAATTAAAAAACAAAAATGTGAATTCATACGACTTTGAACAAATAAAGCTGACAAGTTCTTGAGAGCATAATAGTTTATTGCAAAAAAACTGCAATGACATTTTATTAAATTGTGATGACAACATGCTACTGCGAATGTTGCACTAGAGTCCTGCGCTGAAAATAACTCAAATTTGTTTACGCCCAGCCCATAAATGTTAATTTTAAACGTTCTATCACCACTAGACTAGTGTGCCGATATAAAATGTTGTAAAATGTAGCGCTATGTTATATTGAAATCGGTAAATTTTTATGTTTATTGACCTGAGCGAAGAAAAATATGCATGATTTTCAGCGCAGGAGTCTACTTTTTTTGTAATTGAATTAAGTTTTAGGTATACCGTTACATGTAGGGTGATTTGTCCCGGGTTATGGTAATGGTAGAAACAAATGATGGTCAACTTCAATGCTAATTTTATGAAATGATAGCAGAAAGCATACTTATATTCTGGGAGTATATGTATATTGCTATACATTTACAATCTATAGATATAATACTCCGGAGAGGATCTAAGCTACAACATATCCCCTTCTTCGTTGTGCCATTTTATCTTTAACAGAAGGAAATAAATAACGGTATGAAAATATAGACTTCCATAGCATTTCAATCAACAATTTAAATTCCCACATCATCAGCAACCTTCCACTGATGAAAAATGTAGCACAAAGCAACAATGCAATTAATCTAATTAGAAGTTACCGCTTCTGACAATCGAATGGCCAGCAAATCTAATCCGAAGCATCACTATGACCTAAGAAAGTAGTGATCACGCTCTACACAAGTGTTAATTAAATTCAAAATAGTCATTGGCTGGAATTGATGCTAAAGCTTTAATTACTGTTTCACGCATATCTACTGATGCACCGGAAGTGGAAGAACGATGTAGCTACAATTGTTGATTATCATCCGCTCGACCGAACCATCAATTAAGGGCATCTAATTCACACACGCGCCTACACAGCACAATACGTTTACGATAGAATCCAGTCTACAGCGGTTGTACTTACCCTTCACCTTCGGCATTCTCGGCGAGAGTTTTGAAGTTTTTAACGGTTTTCGGAACGGTACCACCGAACAGACCAATCACAACGCGACCTTCCGACTTTCCACCGATGGCGATGTCGAAGTAGACCTGCAATTCATCACAATGATATTAAATAATGTCTGCCGCATTTTAATTTTTCTCTAAATAAAAAGGCCAAGCTCAGTTATTTCGTACGCTCTTCTCATTATTTCGGGGAGTTTTAATAAGCATCCGGTATAGCCATCAAAGTCATTGCTTTCGCTTTGTTCCATTGGATTGAAAGTGCTTTTCTTTGCTTTGTTCGTTTTAATTCATTCCACATCTGGGACATTTATGTAAAATAGTGCGAAATAACCTCTCACAAAGAGACACGTAATCATTCCATAAAAAGGAAGAAATGGACACGGAGATAAAATCGTCTGCGAGCCCCCGATTCGCACACATACATGCAAATATGAACTGACATAAAGAGGTTGAATAAACTATAATTTTTGCTTGCATACCAAATTACACCTTCATTCAAGTCAATAATGGAAATTCTGCGGTCAATTCGCAACGGGATAAACCGGTTTGAACCCCCGCAAATTTGTTTCAATCAAAAAGAGCAGTACAAAATGTCTGAGTACGAGCACAGAAGCCTCATAATTCAATTTCGAGTTCGTAGATAAAAGAACTCGGAGCATCGAGAAATGAGCAGATAACACACTACGAGCTAAAAAAAACACTTACCTTATCAGTAACTTTGGGTCCTTCTTGGGCCAGGGCCCCGACTAGCAGTACACTGAGAACTACGAAAAGCTTCATTATGAAACACTTGGAGCACTAAATCAGCTTAACTGATTCTATCTTAGCTTAACTTGAAGCGTACTAAACTTATAAAGAAACGAAATTGAAACCGGCAGGCCGTGAACCGATGCCGTCGATGTCTGACACTGAATTGACTGGTAGCGATGCCACTGCGAATGGGTTTAAAAGAAGAAACCGAATCGACTCCCCGGTACAGTAGGTTGGCAATTTTAGGACCGGTCGTAACTGTTAACGAAAACCGAAATACTAAGGGCACAACAGTATGGTTTTAAATTGAGTTATCACGTTGTAGAAATCAACTCGGAATGTATTGTAGTTTAGTCATCATAAGTTGTTTTGCAAATATGTTGCAGTTTGAAAATCCATTAGCACCTGTGCAGTATACGTGTAACAATCACAATGGCAAGGGGGAGAAAAAAAACCGAAAACCGGCATTAGGTTTCCTGCAAAAGCTCATAGAGGTCAGGCCAGTTGGCGAGCTGTCATACCGACACAGAGACTTGTCTAGATCTGTGACAGCGTTAATGGATGGATGCTTTCAAATTGAACGTTATGTAAATTACGTATAATTAATAGCGAATTAGTATTCAGTTCCAACCTGGATCGGGTATCAAGATTGGGTCAGCTTGTTTTTTGGCAAACGTCAGCTGTTTTTAAAACCTACCTCAGCAGGTTGAGGTTCGCACTGACAAAAAGTTCAGTTCAGCACTGCTGAACGAATTCACTATTTATAAGTTTGACGGAAATCAAAGATATTTTATTAACAAGATATCCCATTAATCAATTCCTCGTACAAGGCACTGGATACACCACCCTTATGTGATCGCAGTGATATCTAGTGAGTGCACATTGAAACTGTGGGGAGTTCCTCGCCAACTTCACCACCAGGGCTCAACAAATGACAGGTGTGAGTATGACATATGCCTCGACATATGCCAACCGAGGGAAGAAGATGATCGATGTCCTCATCATCTGGGAGGGAGAAACAGACTCGGAAAATGTGAATGTCAAGTGAAGCCAGAAATGAGCTGTCACAAACTGTCAGTGGGAGTCAGCAGTACAAAACATCAATCAATGGGAAGTATTGATATCGAATACAAAATATTTTCTTGCTTGAAAACAATTTGCACTGCAAAATTTTCGTTTCTTCAGTTCAGGAATCGGTATGTAATTTAACTAAATTGTAGTGTATCAAGCATGTTATATCGTAAATTTGATAGTTTTCTCAAAATAAAGGGGGTTGTAGAGATATTCAGGTACGGTTATAGTACGTTCAGACTACAGAGTTATAACATGTTATAGCGCTATCTTGATGGTGGTTTCTGTGTTGCAATTATTTGACAACCGTTATAACATGTTATAACTCTCCAGTCTGGACAGCGTTTTACTCTAAATTTCCGGGTTCGTGTCGGGTACGAGTATACGAAGAAAATATTTTTGAGTTCGGATCGGGTAAGGGGTATATTTGGGTACGGGTAGTATCGAGGGGCACGCAAAAACATCAACTACGGCACAGGAAGTAGCCGTAATTAAATTAATTCCATTAATTACAGGGGTCAGGTCGGGTTCGGGTTCTTGAAATTTGTATGAATTGGGTACGGGTTTGGTTCGGGTATACAAATGTCTATATCTGACCATCTTTATGGGATTGTTTGTTCATGTGATGTATTGTTATTGATAAATAAAGGAAATGCTTAAAATATTCACATTTATTCATCATTTCATAACAGTTGGTAACAACAAAATTTCAGCTCAATGCAACTCAACATACTTCGTCTATCAAATTTTCTTTTCCTCATTTTACGAACTCTGTAAGTTTTAATTTTGAAGAGCAAAAATCTTTTAACAAGCTTGAATTTGATATCATGGCAATTCTGAATTTGCAGCGGCAGCGACATCAATGTCTTTTGTGCCTGAAGGATTACACTTCTGTTAGTTGATGCCTTGTCAGTGAAATTTTCTTTGAAAATTGAGTCCATACACGTAAAGAAATAAAATATTTCTTTCAAAACATAGGCATGAGGCCTTCCTCTTGCTTTTGCTAGTAAACATGAGAATTTGCCATAAATTTTATCAAACGGAATCGCAGTTATACAATCTTGTATACAGTAGGAGCATGAAGTGCTGTTCTTTCTTATGCATCCCATTAGATATCCTGCAATGTGAAATAAGGCGTTAGTTTCGGCATTATTCAAATTTAGAAGGATCTGTTTCGCCATAGTTGATATTTCAGCTTTCGAAAAATCAAGAGTTTCTTCCAGGATCGCTGTAAATTGCGTTGAAGAAGGTTGCTCTGCGTTGTTCAAGTGATCCATAAATCCTGACAAATATTCTCTGTCGTACATGTTGTAAAAAGAGTTTATGACGACTACCGGTTCTGAATCCTCTTCAGTGATCATCTTTTTTATCTCCAATAGCAACCCATTCAGGCACCACAGCAGAAAAGTTCGCGTAGTTATGATCCAGAAGAGCCGGCGAAGAGTAGAGGGGACGGGATTTATAAAAGTCCAACAACCGATCGCTCTCTTCCGGTTCGTCCTCAAGAGGTAGCAAGAAAGCTTCAATCGACGGAACGGCATCTTTTTTTTTCGTTTTATTCCCATTTTTATCGACGCGGAAGCAGTCCTCTAAGAAATGGGCCAGCAAATAATTAAAAAAGATCATAGCAACATTGATAAAATGCAAAACACTTGTACCGTCAACACTTACGCTACAGACTCGCGAGCTTGGTTTAATTTCGCCGGTTTCGGAATCCATCCAACAGAACTTAATCCATTGGGATCTTGTGATATAATCAGTAGGAAAGCGCAAAAAACCCAATCCAGGATAATTCCTGCTGTTCCGGCCGCAGTATTTCACCTGACATTTCATTTTGGCTGATTCACTACGAGTCTCTACAAGTAATTTTTCAACTCCAACTTTACACAAGCATTAAGTCATCCGACGGTAACACGTAAACAACAGAGACACGAAAAACCGAAACCACTCATTATGGGAACAAATTACTTGATAATTTTTATTTGCCAAGAATTTTCTTGCGTAATATTGTGATTGATTTATTAGATTTTGTGTGTAGTATTTGCTTCTCCCTCCCAGCTCATCATTATATTTCGATAGCAAAATTCTCACTTTGTTACGATTGTATCAATTTTCAATCATTACCACGTTAAACGCAACAGAAACGCTTGAGAATACAAGGACACATCCAAGCTGGGCTTGTAATATGTTTTGCTTTCGAGCGAACGAGTCTCCAATATCACCAACGGTATCAGTAAGATGCATTGTTTACAATAGCAGATACGTCTCTTTGAAAAAGTAATTGAAAATTGATGATTTGTGAATCTGTTGCTCAACATTATCTTAATAAGCATAGAAGTATACTTCGAAAAACGCAACGTATTGAAATCATTGCTTTGTAATAAAATATGCCGTCTTCCTTGGCCAACACTGCACGCATTCTATTCAAAAATTACGTTGGAATAATGATTACTTTCCTACTTTATAAAGAAGGTATTTGTTAACGCCACCGAAATCGCAAACTGAAGCTGCCAGAGCTGAGTGATGACGATGAGTAATGACATCACTTCGTGTTTTGATTTGCACAGTCCCCTCACTGGTGTGGGTTCTTACATGCATGGGATGTTGGTGTGCGTGTTTTCTTTCAATGCTGCAGTTTAACGTTGTGTCGTCACAAACCTATTGGCGCTGTTATCTGTCTCTATAAATTCCAAAGAGTGAAGGGAGTCTGCGGAAATCGTAGTAGAAATTATAATATTCTTCTCCTTCTTTCCTTTATTTAACGTCGGTCTCTGTTCCGCAATCTAGTGCCAATCACCGACGGAAATCGATTGCCATCCATTAACGGCAATCGAATGTGCAGGAAGGCAGCTTCCACACCTGCGTAGGATATCGCACCCATTCAACAACACACATGGGCCGGGACCAACGGCTTTACTTCCCTTCCGAAGGAAGACGTGACCAGAGATTTTTATGCCTCAGAAAAATCCCACCGACCTCGGCTGGGATTGAACTCAGACCCATTGGGGTGTTAGCAAGCAGTCACGCTTACCACTAAACCACCGGCGCCGGCTAAATTATAATATTAGCGTAGTTCAAATCTAGTTTGCTTCACACAGTGCAGTTGTTTAATAAGAAAGGCGAACATCAACAACTCGTCCTAGAATTTCACCATATTGCTTTACGGATAAACTTTCTATTTTTTTAGTAAGGAAAGATAACCTTTGAGTAGGACGTCAATACAATTCAAATAAATTATTAATTGATTTAGATGCCGATGACATTCTGACATGACGATCGAATATTTCGTTCCGGAGATATGACCAGAAACTAACTCCCTCACTCACTTAAGAATCCTGAGCACCACTAGTGCATAATAATACCAACGCAGTAGTAAGATTATAGATATAAGAGTTATCTGGGTTATCGATTTAGTGAGTTGATTTAGACATGGATCATACATAACAGAATCTTCTATCTATATATATATATAAATGAATTTCTGTCTGTCTGTCTGTCTGTCTGACCCTTATAGACTCGGAAACTACTGAACCGATCGGCGTTAAAAATTTTTATGCAGGGGTTTTTGGGGCAGGGAAAAGATTCTTATGATTCTTATGCTCCCATACAAATGAAACAGAAATTTCTGCATAACTCGAGAACTAATCAAGCAAATGGAACCAAATTTGGCATATGGAGGTCATAGGGGGTAGCCCCTTAGATAAGAGGGTCCCTGGATTCTAGAAAGTTCATCAATCGTCTATTTACCATCCTTTCCACGATTTTGGAGGCACAGCATGTGAGGAAGATCGGCCTGAAATCACTAGCTTGTCTGCCTGGCTTTCCTTGCTTGAGGATCGGGACCACGAGACTGTGCTTCCAATCCTGAGGCAGGGAGTTGTGCAGCCACTCCTGGTTGATTAGATCTAGAAGCTTGCGTCTTCCTTCTGGTGGTAGATTCCGGAGCAAAAGATAGCCCACCTCGTCCGGGCCCGCAGAATTGCATTTAGCCTTTGATAAGGCTAGTGCGAGCTCGTTCATCTGGAAGGGTTCGTTTATTTCCGGCACAATTGTTTCCTCTGGAATTGGCATGCTGGCTATGGGGGGTGTCGAAGCAACTTTTTTCCTACGGAAGCGTTCTTCGTAGCCTTCTATGGCTGATGGAGAGGTAAAGTATTCTCCAAGCACATCGGCAATAGTATCTGAATCGCGGGTAAATCCTCCTTCATATTTAAGTGCGATTCCCCGGTTTTTTCTCTTCCCACTTAAAGCATTAACCTTTCCCCACAGATCAGCTGCCGATTGGTTTGGGCTGATTTCGTTGAGAAAGTTCTCCCAACTTTGGGCCTTCGCTTCTCGTATAGTTTGTCGACATTCGTTCCTTTTTGCACGGTAGTGAGCCAAAGCAACCTCCTTGTCGGGGTGGTTTTTATTTAATCGCTTGGCGGCACCGTCAACACGCCTTTCGTCCAGGACACGGTACAAACACGTACTTCGCCACACTTGTCCAAGCCCTTGATGACGCTACCTCGAGCGGACACCACGTCGAACTGGCAGCTTTAGACGTGGCAAAAGCTTATAATAGAGCTTGGATGCCAGATGTCATCCGACAAATGGCTGATTGACTATATGGAAAGCTAACGCCATTGCGGAAGGTTGTTACTTACGCTAATCCGGTGTTATTTTTGAGTTTTTTTGAAAGTGAAATTTTCTAACGAAACTTTTTCTCGTGAATTGTTAAAACAATAAGTGCTTCCAAAAACAGAAACTAACAGAAAAAGAAACGTGATCAAGTTCCTACAAGATGGCTGCAGTCGGCGGGGGTACTGAGCCCCCCGACAAGCAAGATCCAAGGAAAGATGGCGAAAGCAAAATGGACGACAACCAACACCAACACGAGCATGAGTCATACCTGTACACTGCAGATGATGAAGCACCATACAGAATCTACATCGAGATCCAGGAAAAATCAAGAACGATTAACAAATTTTCAGTTGGACAATTATTGAGGAAACTGCCACGTTATCGCAACTACATCGAGGAAATGAAGTATTTGGGAAGAAAGAAGATTATTGTATTTGTCAGTTCGTGGATGCAAGCCAACTTACTGGTTGGAGAACAAATGCTACGCGATCGAGGATACCACGCGTATGTTCCACGCCATCTGGTGTGCATAAAAGGAGTTGTGAGCGGAGTAGATCCAGAAATCGACATAGAAGACATCAAACAGGAGATCGGAAGTGGTGGTGGTGGATATCTACAGAATGAATTGTTGGGTAATTGAAAAAAGCAGAAAGGAAGCGTCAAATCGAGTCAGTGTTACGTTCAGAGCGAGAAACCTGCCGGAGAAAATCAAGTTATTTGGAATCACAGCAAAGGTGCAGCCTTTCATACGACGGACGGAAATGTGCAATAACTGCCATCGCTACGGACATAAGCAGGACAACTGCAAATCCAGGAAAAGGTGTGAAAAATGTTCACAGGTACACGACGAAGAATCAAACCAATGTAAGAATGAGGTCAAATGCCTGCATTGCCGCAGCTCCAATCACCGCAGTACAGATCCGGAATGTCCGGCACGTGAACGTGAAGCAGGAATCAAGAGATTGATGGCAAAACAAAACCTAACGTACGTGGAAGCAAGGGAACTAGTACCAACGATCCTATCAAGTAACAAATACGAACTGTTAGCGAACGCTGACGAATACCCTACCATCCCGGAAAGTTTCGCAAAAATGACAGCTGGAAATTATGTGCACAAGCAAAACAGCAACAGAAACAAAACAACACGCAGCAACGGAGTACAGAATCAGGAATATCAAGGTCACAGCCATACGATTGTAAAGAGGAAGAAAACAGAGCACAGTACGACCAACAGCAGAAATATGGAGGCGAGCTCTTTGTCTAGCTCCGTGGTTTATCCAACAACAAGTAAACCATCAGACACAATTTGCGGAACCGGATTGAACAATCCTTACGCTACCACGAGTGCAGAAAAATGTCAATCGACAAAAAAGCGAAAGAATATGCACAGGAGGCTGCGTATCGGAACGTGCAAGGAGAACTCATGACTTTCTACACGGCACTGCTTCAGATCCCTGATGTTACCGAGGAGACGAAAGAAAGAATCAAAGAATGTTCAAAAAAATATTTACATTTTGACCAAGTCATAAATTGAAATTTCGTTGACAGCTGGATGTCTAATTAATGTCATATAGATTGATTTTTTGTTATTATTTTTTTTATTTTGTTTACAGAAATGGCTCAGTTCAAGTTTTTACAGTGCAACATACAAAGCTTGAGTAAAAATAAAGATGAATTACAACGAGTTTTGGGGGTTGGTGACTATTCAGCAGCCTTCATCTCAGAAACATGGACCAATCCAGATTTAGAAGATACAAGTAAGTACAAAATTTACCGATACCACAGATTTTTAAAATCTAGACCAGATAATTACGGAGGATGTGCAATATTTCTTAAAGACACCTTAGGATATAATATAGTTGATTTACCCACTACTTCGAACTCTATGCAAACAATAGCAATTAAAATCTACGCGTTGGATATGGTTCTTGTTTCAGTTTATATAGCTCCGCCTATAACTAAAACAGAGTTAGAATCAGATCTAAGCAATATATTCCACTTTTTAAAGCAGTTTAATAAAACCATTATTGCAGGGAGTTTCAATGCCCATCATATTGCATGGGGTAATGACACCAGTAATGCAAAAGGAAAGATTGTAATGGATATCATAAATGATTATAATACAATTTTACTCAATGATGGTTCAAAAACTTTTGTCCCGATTCAAATAGGTAGAAACCCTACATAAATAGACCTCACTCTTTGCACACCAAACCTAGTCACTGACTTCACATGGAGAGCCCTTGACTATAGTATAGGAAGCCATCATCTGTTAATCGAAATAGAATTCAATAATGGTACTCCTGAAAAAACTAAAATAGTCTACAACTATAAGAAAATAAGACAAGATTTAAAGCAAATTGAAATGGCAAACTGTCAAGGTATTGAAGATTTTAAAAACAAGTTTCAGATATCCATAGAAAAAATGTATTGAAAAATAAATACATTCCCAAACACTGGTGGTCAGAAGAACTTAGCAAAGCATGGGAAGATAAGAAAGTCGCAAGAAGTTCTTTTAATAAAAAATCATCGGTCGAAAACCTTATAATTTTCAAGAAAAAAGAAGCAATTTTCAACAAATTAAAAAAGAAGCGAAAAATAACAGTTTTGAAAGTTTTGTGGTAGAAATTAATCCTTCGATGAATTCTAGCGAACTATGTTTGAAAATTGGCAGGTTAACTGGTAAAAGAAAACGAAACCAAACTAACAATATATTATACGAAGATGAAAAAATGGCGGACAATTTCTTAGATAAACATTTTGGCGTAAATGAATCACACTTTAATATTGATTCAAACTTCAGTATAAACTATGCTTTGTTTGATTTAGAAAAGTTTAATGACATCTTATATAAAAAAAAAGAAAAATAGTTCTCCAGGTGAAGACTTGATATCTTACTCAATGTTAAAAGATCTAAGAACTAATATTAAAATTGGTCTAGTTACACAGTTGAATAAAATTTGGAAAGACTGTTATCTTCCAATGACATTGAAAACAATTAAAATAGTCGCAATACCAAAACCAGGTAAAGACCAAGCCACAATGGAAGGTAAAAGACCGATTTCATTAGTCCCTATATTTACAAAATTAATAAACTCTGCAGTTTTACATAAACTAGTTCAACATTTAGAAACTAATCAGTTAATTCCGGACACATCTTTTGGTTTTCGTAAAGGCACCTCAACTGTAACGTGTTTAAACTATGTAATAAATTCCGTGAAAAACAACAAAAGAGACAAAATGTTAACAGCAATAGTCTTCATTGACCTATCTAATGCATTAAACGCAGTTAAAACCGACATCTTAGAGGCAATTTTGCATAATTTTAAAATTCCAGAAGAAATCTCGTCATGGATTGTTCAATTTCTAAGAAACAGAAAAATTATTTTCAAAACAAAAAACCAAAGTTTGTCCCGTTTTATATCAAATGGCTTACCGCAGGGAGATGTTTTATCCCCCACTTTGTTTAACATATATACTGCATCTTTGCATAGCATTGCTAGTTCGGATACCTGCTTAGTGCAATATGCCGATGATTTCGGTTTAATAATCAAAAAAAAAAAAATCTGGAAGAGTTAAATAAAAAAGTCCAGGAAAAAACAAACATAAAGGGTGATACGGTCAAAATTTGGTCAATATCAACTTGACGTATTTCTTTCAATTTTGCATTTAAAAAACCTGAACACCCCTCATTTTGAAGGTGTGTGTGTGTAGAATGTTGCTCCTATTTTGATTTTGGAATTCACTCTTCAGTTGTCAAAATGCCGTCCAAGCAAGAAGAGCAGCGTATCAAAATTTTGCTCGCGCATCGCGAAAATCCGAGCTACTCGCACGCAAAGTTGGCAAAATCGCTAAAAGTTGCCAAATCAACCGTTACAAATGTAATTAAAGTGTTTGGGGAACGTTTGTCGACAGCCAGAAAGTCTGGATCGGGGGGAAATCGAAAACCGGAAGCCGCTGAGACGACAAAGAGAGTTGCCGGTAGTTTCAAGCGAAACCCTAACCTCTCTCTCCGAGATGCCGCAAATAAGCTGGGTGTATCGTCTACAACCGTGCATCGAGCCAAAAAACGAGCCGGACTATCAAATTACAAGAAGGTAGTGACTCCAAATCGCGATGATAAACAAAATACGACGGCCAAAGCGCGATCCCGGAGGCTTTACACGACGATGCTGACGAAGTTTGACTGCGTGGTAATGGACGACGAAACCTACGTCAAAGCCGACTACAAGCAGCTTCCGGGACAGGAGTTTTATACGGCAAAAGGAAGGGGAAAGGTAGCAGATGTTTTCAAGCACATGAAACTGTCAAAGTTCGCAAAGAAATATCTGGTTTGGCAAGCCATCTGTACCTGTGGCTTGAAAAGCAGCATTTTCATAGCTTCCGGGACTGTCAACCAAGAAATTTACGTGAAAGAGTGTTTGAATAAACGTCTGCTGCCTTTCCTGAAGAAACACGGTTGTTCCGTACTGTTTTGGCCGGATTTGGCATCTTGCCATTACGGTAAAAAGGCCATGGAGTGGTACGCCGCCAACAACGTGCAGGTGGTTCCCAAGGACAAGAACCCTCCCAACACGCCAGAGCTCCGCCCAATTGAGAAATACTGGGCTATTGTCAAGCGGAACCTAAAGAAGACCAAAAAAACTGCTAAGGGCGAGCAGCAGTTCAAGGCAAACTGGCTTGCTGCGGCGAAGAAGGTGGACAAGGTGGCTGTACAAAATCTGATGGCAGGGGTCAAGCGTAAGGCCCGGCAATTCGGATTTGGAAAAGCGGAAGCCTAACTGAATATTTTTCCTGAATTTTATACTAATTGAACTTGAAAAAGAAATTTAATTTGATTTTTTAAATAAACGATTTCACCGATTTACACGCGTTTTCCCTTGACCAAATTTTGACCGTATCACCCTTTACTAATAGAAAATTTAAATAAACTAAATTTTAGCGTTAACGCGCAAAAAACTAAAATAATCCTATTCCAGAGCAGTAACAATAGATTATCCGTAAAAACTGATAGCCAAGAGATAGAAACAGTTAATTCACACGTTTACTTAGGAATAACATTAGACCGATATTTGAGCTTCGGTATACACATAAAAAATACAAAACAAAAAATAGTGGATCGTCTTAACATGATAAAAGTAATAAACAGTGTAAAAACTGGTGCACATCCGGAAACCATGATAACCATATATAAATCAATATTCAGAAGTGTACTTGAATATGGATCAACGATTTACAATAACGCTAGCAAAACCAATAAACAGATACTCAAAACAATAAATAATCAATGCTTACGTAAAATTACAGGATTTACTAAAACCACCCCAATCAATTCTCTCCTGCAAAGAAATAGCCAGGTACATTCATACTCAAAACCCAATTGCTGACCAGTTAAAACGTGTAGATGTAAATGAAAGTACCGATTTAACCTACCTGGAGTCAATATACATAGATGAACATAATACTTTTAATAAAATTTCACCTCTTATGAATGTACAAAATAGAAATATTCAACTCAGCATAGAATCAGTTTTACCTGGAGTTACCTCTGCTAAAATGAATACAAATCCAATTAAACTCAAACAGATAACGTTGGGATTATTGAATGGGATATATAAAAATAAACCTGCAATGCTTACAGACGCTTCTAAAGATAGTTCAATTTGTGGCATAGGAATATATAATTCAAACAACAAACAAAGATACTCTTATAAACTGGATAACGAAACTTGCATTACTACAGCTGAAATAATTACAATAGATACAGCCTTAACCATAATAGAAAAAAAATCTAATTTCAAATGCAGTTATATACACAGACTCAAAATCAGCGTGTCAAATAATAGAAACAGGATCACATAGTAACAAGATTCCTGAATTAATAAATCAAATAGTTACCAAAGCTTATGAATGGAAAACAATTATTCAATGGGTGCCAAGTCACGTAAATATTCTAGGGAACGAGATTGCAGACAGATTAGCTAAACAAGGATTAACTGAGAAAAGAACCATATCCAATTGCATTTTATTAAAAGATGCTTTTGTAATTTTTAAAAATAAAATGCACAATAAAACAAATCTGTGGTATCGGGAATATTCTGATTCAAAGGGAAAAACATTTTTCAACTTTCAACAAAAAATCGAAAACGTATCTTGGTTTTACAATAAAAATTTGAACAACTACCAGATAAGGCTGCTGAATAGATTGCTAACTGGTCACGACTGGTCAAAAGTTTGGAAGGCTAAAATGAAGCTAATTGACGACGAAAATTGTGAAACTTGTGATGAGCCTGAAAATGGTGAGCATATTGTGTTGCACTGTTGTAGATTTGGACGAATACGAGCAAAATATTCATTCGATAATAGATTCCGTACTTTAATTGAATTATTCAACAGCAGAGATTTGAATTTTTACGTCGAAGTTTGTAACTTTCTAGGAGAAATTAAAATGGACATTTAGTCGTTTTTTCTTTTTTCTTAACAATTTTTTGATTCGATTTTGAAACGTCGGTGACTCCAGGGGTGTGTACGGTTGGTTTGGAGACTACTGGGTAATCCGAACACCAACGACACCTGTCTTTTGGAGCTAAATACCCATGCGTGAACCAAATACGCTACGAAGAGATAAATCAATAGGGCTTTATAGTCGTTGTCACTTTGCCCTTTCCCAGGAGCTGTCAAATGATAGCTCAAATAGAGAAGAAGAAGAAGAAGAAATGGCTGATTGGGGCCTTGGCGGGCACCTGATGCATTTCGTGAAGAATTTCTTGGCAAATCGCACCTTTAAGGTACTTCTGGGAAACCACCGTTCCGCAACATTCCGAGAGGAGACTGGCGTACCACAGGGTTTGGTTATCGCAGTCACCCTTTTCTTAATTTGTATGAATGGAGTTTTCGTTAACCTTCCTAAGGAAATTTACATTTTTGTGTACGCTGACGACATTATCCTCCTGATCACTCACAAAACCATAAAGGCACTATGTAGAAAGATGGGCGCTGCCACAAGGCCAGTCTCCCTGTGGACATCACTGACTGGCTTCCAACTCTCAGCCGAAAAATGCAACCTAGTGCACATCTGCTCTCACCATCATGCCGTCCTTAACACTCCCATCTGTATCAATGGTACAGCTATTCCCATCAGGAGGTCAGCCTGTATCCTCGGAGTTCGAATTGACCGATATTTGACCTTTTCTGCCCACTTCGACGAAGTCAAGAACGCCTGCAAGACACGTCTTAATCTGCTACGATCCATCGCAGGTCGACACCCAGACAGTAACCGGCCCATTCGGCTTCGAGTTGCTAGAACAATTTTAGAATCACGTCTCCTTTATGGAATCGAAGTTACCTGTCTCGCTCGCGAACAATTTATTACGAAACTAGTCTCTACATACCACCAAGCTATCCGTATCTCATCCGGCCTACTACCATCCACGCCTGCAATTGCAGCTTGCGTGGAAAGTTGAGCATCTGCAACCGATCAATCAGCTTCGAGGAGAAGACAGCTGGCTCAGATGAAGGAGTTTTCCTCCTTACCGAGGCCAAACAACTCCTTTCAGCCACCGCCAATCTGGAGCTCCCCCCGGTGTCTAGCATACATTGGTGTGGAACCAGAGATTAGAACCTGCCCGGGCCCATTCTCGACTTGGCGATAAAGAAGAAGTTCAAGGCAGGATCCAACTCTACGGCACTTGTGAGATCCGTCGTGGAACTCCAGAGAACCAGATACTGCAACCACACTATCCGTTGGCATCGGCATCACGGGCCCCCCAAATGTCCGTACTTCATCGACTTCCAGACCAGTACACTATATTTTCGGCAGAAGCGGTATCTGCTTTTATTGCTGCTCTACCACTCCCTCAAACAAGCCGATTGCCGTATTTAGGGACTCCGCAAGTGTAGTTTTAGCCCTCAACTCAGACTCTATCAAGTACTCATGGATCCAAGCCATTCAGTGATATGCCCCCAGCAACACTACATTTGTATGGATTCCGGGCCACTGCGGCATTCGTCCCAACAAACAATTCAAAGTCACAAATAAGCATACACATTGAATAAATGCTGTATAACAGTGTACAATGCTGAATAAAACAGGATGTCGAATTATGTGCTGAAAAAAGCTCATTTAGATCGATAGATGCGCCTTTATTCCGCCGTTGGCTCTGATATGATTAATTTCCTTATTAAAAGCTTTATAAGCGTTGACTGTCTTCCTGATTCAGAACCAGAAGTTTGATCTAATAAAAAACTGAATAAGTGTAATTCGCACATACATTGTCGCTTTAATACGACTGTTTTCAATTGATTTAATAAAATGCTTTATTAAACGTCTTATAAATGTTTTCCAGCTCCATTATTAGATTTCATTACATTGCTTTACAATATTGCTGTATAAAGGTGAATACAGTCAGCAAAATAGCTCTTATACCACCCAACAAACAATTCAGAGTCACAAATAAGCATATATATTGAATAAATGCTGTACAACAGTGTACAATGCTGAATAAGAAGAGTTGTCGAATTATGTGCTGAAAAAGCTCATTGAGATCGATAGATACACATTTATTCCACTGTTTGCTCTGATCCGATTAATTTACTTATTAAAAGCTGTAAAAGTGTTAAATGTCTTTCCAATTCAACGCCAGAAATTTGATATAATAACAAACTGAATAAGTGTAATTTGTACATACATTGATACTTTAATTGTTTTCAATTGATTCAATAAGATGCTTTATTAGACGTCTAATAAATGTTTTCCAGCTCCAGTATTAGATTTCCTTGCATTACCCCTTACAATATTGCTGAATAAAGGTGAATACAGTCAGCATAATTGCTTTTATACCACTTAATCGCATGCCTTGTAAATGCTTTAGAAACGACGTATAAGATTCATTATTCCACAACATTGGTTCAATCTAACTAAAAGACGAAATCAGTAGAGTAGTGGTTACCATTTCCGCTTTCCAAGTAGAAGGTCATGAGTTCAATTCCAAGCTCAATTTTTTTTATTTGTTTTCTACGCCTAATTAATTTAAATTGGAATCATCGATCACATGACTCACGACAATGAATGCATTGATCTAAAATTAAAATATAACCGAGCACCCTTTCTTTCGACTTGGAGAGGTGAAGAGGCAACATTGGTCTCATTTAAAACAACGATGAATGAATGCATCATTCCCACAGGGCCTTGAAGGAGCTAGTTATTGAGTTGCCCATATGATGAATTCTAGGATAGCTCAGATGACAAGGCAGCAGGTGATCGGAAGGTACATGGTTCGAATCCCATGCAGCGACATGTATAAGTATTTAATAAATTTTCTAATATCTGTGTGATGCGAGCCACGTCAGAAATAATGCAATACAATACACTTAAGAAACACACCCTTCCCTGTCCCCCGTCCTTCTTATTTTCGGGTTCATTTTCCTACAGTTGAATAATCGTTTAAGAAATGTATAATAATGTCTAATTAAACGTTACTTCACATGAGAATCAAGCGTATACAGAGCATCACAGTTTTAAGAAAGCTGAATAGTTAAAAAAAAATCGTATAAACTCTGTTACAACTCATATAAGTCGAATAAAACCTTCTCGACATACCTTATACAACACCAAGTAGTTCAATGTTGTGGTTGAATAAATTCTCCAGATTTGTGTGAACAAAGCCTGAACAGAAGTGATTATTAAAATAGTACAAGTACTATTAAGCATGCAGTTGAATAAAATGGCCAAGAAGTCGTTTCTTCAATAGACGATTGTTTGTTGGGGTGGTTATACGGAGGTGGATCATCTAGCGGCTTCTGGAAGACGAGCCACAACTGTTCACCAAGGAGGTCCCATCGGGGGCCCTGAAAAAATGAAAAGTGAAGGCTGACACACGAAGATGGCAAGACCCCCCTGACCACCGAACTCAGGTTGTCCTGACAAGACTCAGAACAGGCCATACCAGAGTCTCGCATAACTTTTCAGGGAGCGGCCCGTTCCGGAAATTTTGCGAGCTCTGCCGCACCAACTGTTCAGTGGAACACATAATCTGCCACTGTACTCAATACGAAGGCTCACGAGAGCTGTACGTCATACCGGGCAGCATTAAGGACGCACTGAGTAACGACCCGACTAGAATCACAGCATTAATGGGCTTCCTCCGCGAGGCCGGCCTCTTCGACCACATATGAAACCTGCAAAAATCCCGACCACCGCAATACAAATGGACTTTCTCTTATAACCCAACATCTCAAACCAAAGCAAGATCCTCAGCAACTTAACAACCAAAACTCCGAAGAAAGACAGCACATTGACAGCCTCAGTATTTAACTAGAGGAGGCCTCTTATAGACCTCCTAACATGATAAAAAAGGAAACAAAAAACTTTGTAACTAGATGAGGTCCCGTCTGGACCCCACACTATTTCAGAGACGAACCAGCCAACGCAACGGCTGAAAGTCTCTATAATAATTAAATCAATCAATCAGATAAGAGAGGGGAGGGGGGGTACGTACAATATAGCATGCTTTCTTTTAATTGGCGCATAAACTCAAGCTAATATTGAATGCCGAGCAAGGCCGGGCACACTCAGCTAGTATTAAATAAAAGCAAAAACCGCGGAAGGTTCAAATTGCATAACTAATTGCTTTATTATACTGGGACACACAATTCATCTCTAACTTCGAACCACTGGCGTCTCGAGCACTCACAATCCGGTCTTCTTCTTAATCCAATCAGCGAAAGAAGTCAGCCGAGCAAACGCACCCGGCAAACCACGGTCACATCCGCTCGCATGGCCAAAGCTGACCACACCAACCTGCACATTAGTTCCCTCCAGCACCAGCGGACCACCTGAATCTCCATTGCAAGGGGACTGCTTCTCACCCCCTAGGGCACAGATGGTCGTTTTCTTGATCACCAGCGGATTGTAGGTTTTCGTGCACTTGCTGTTGGTGATAACCGTCAACGGTGCATATTGCAGCTTCAGCGCGACACTTCCTCCGGTTTTCTGCAGTCCCCAACCGCTGACAACAACCTTACGATCTGCGTAGGTATCACTTCCGGTTGGCAGTTGGATAGGCTGAATTCGCTCGTTGAACTGTACCGGTTCCGGCAGTTTTACCACAGCCACATCGTTCGACGCAAACAGAGGATTGTATTTCTCGTGACGGTAGTACTCAGTGGTGGTCAGAACTACGCGGCCATCGTCCGATTCACTTTCCAGATCGACTGCTCCCAGGGTTACCTCAAACGATGACGCTCCCTGTGTACAGTGACCGGCCGTCAGAACCCACTGGGCGTTCACTAAGCTCCCACCACACAGAGCACGACCCTGCGGAAGCTGAATTTTGAGCAATGCTTGGTACGGAAACTGACCCGCGGCAGCAGTTTGTCCATTGACGACCCGGGTTAGGTCCGCCGATGGAAATGCGGCGGATAGGGCTACCAGGGAAGCGATTACTATTGTCGATGCAATCATTATGTTAGGTTAATACTGATTCTCCGATGCGATCAAAGATTTGTTTTTATAGTCCGATTAATGCCGTAAGTCTACGCGGGTTCAAGTGTTGCTTCCGCGAAGTGTAGAATGTCTAGCAGGCCACAGGTGAACGGAATCTGCTCACTGCCCACTCGAGAATCGATACGCATCAAGTGTTTACGTTCGAAAGTACAGGCGGTGGGTCGAGTGGTCAAGATTTCACTTATCTATTTGTTGCGGGCAACGGTGAATACTGCATCGCTTTATCGATGATAGTTGAAATGAATGACTTTAATTGAAAGAGGATTTCTAGGGATAACTCTGCTAAGGACTCGCGAACTTATTTCAACAGTCGAAACGACCTTCCCTGAGACATTTCTCTTGTCTGGGAGCTTAAATGCTTTATTGGAAAGAATTAAGATAGTAAAAAAGCTTAAATCATTCCGAAGCATGAACTATAAAAGCATCTGGCTGTCGATTCGTCGGTACAGTTTCAATTCAACACAATGTTTGCATCGACGGTATTAATTGCATCCCTGGTGGCTCTGACCGCTGCATTCCCATCGGCAGACCAAGGCCGAATCGTGAACGGACAAACAGCGACCTTGGGTCAGTTTCCGTACCAAGTTTTGCTTCGAATCCAGTTTGCTCAAGGTCAGGCTCTGTGCGGTGGTAGCTTGTTGAGTGATCAGTGGGTTCTGACGGCCGGTCATTGTACGGATGGGGCTACTTCGTTTGAGGTTACCCTGGGAGCGGTTGACTATGATAGCGAAACGGATGATGGCCGTGTGGTGTTGACTGCAACGGAATACTACCGCCATGAGAAGTACAATCCTCTGTTTGCTACCAATGATGTTGCTGTTGTTAAACTGCCAAAACCAGTGGAGTTCAACGATCGAGTTCAACCTGTGGAACTTCCAACCGGAAGCGATAGCTATGCTGATCTTAAGGTCGTCGTCAGCGGTTGGGGACTTCAGAAGAACGGAGGAAAAGTTGCCGATAAGTTGCAGTACGCACCGTTGACGGTGATTACCAATAACGAGTGTTCGAAGACCTACAGCCCGTTGGTGATCAAGAAGACGACCCTCTGTGCTAAGGGAGACCATAAGGAATCCCCCTGCAATGGAGATTCCGGTGGTCCGCTGGTGTTGGAAGGCGGCAAGATTCAGGTTGGCGTGGTCAGCTTCGGACATGCAAGCGGATGCGAGCTTGGTTATCCGGGAGCATTTGCTCGGTTGACATCGTTCGTTGATTGGATCAAGAAGAAGACTGGATTGTGAAGAACTACTGGAAAAGTCGGAGGTTATGTTCGAAGGCAATAACAAAATTGAATAAAGGAATGTGTTGCATTGCAAGTTCACTTGTTTTTGTCTCGTTTCACAGCATGTAATCTAAATATCTAGTGTAGAAACTGATACGTCATATTTCTTCCGAATTTAATTGGATTCGCGTCAAACGTTATGTTATTCAAAATTTAACAACTGCTGAATATCTTGGGCGATTGAAATTCTTAGTCCTTAACTAGTATCAACAATCAACAGGTTTATACGAAATATTGAATGCTTCGTCAACCTCATATAGACCCATACGATAATAATATGACCTCAATAAGAATAAGTTTTCATCCCTGATGTTCCTAGATCATAGGGAGAGATCATTCAAGACAGGTCAAGGGGTGGTCACTCTACACCAGGCATGGAAAATCATTTACATTCATTTCATGCATTCATTTTCATTCATATGCCTCTAACTTTTTTCATCAACAGCATTCCGCAAAATTATTTATAGAGCTTAAGAAGGTTTTGTTATTAGCTATAACTTTTACCCATAACTCAAATCTGTATCTCTTATGCATCACGAATTAGAGCGGGCAGAACTTGTTACTGTTTTTAAGTGAATGTAAAAAAAATTCACTGAAAAACAGTAGTGGCTTCTGTTCGCTCTGGTTCATCATGCATAAGAGATACGGATTTGAGTTGTTCGCAAAACTTGTAGCTAACAAAATAACAATAATAACAAAACCTACAAAAACTCCATACATCATTTTGCAGAATTCTGTTGATGAAAAAAGTTAGGGGCAAATGAATGTAAATGATTTTCCATGCCTGCTATACACACCCAACTTCTTTCTCAGTGTGCCTCAACTGTACGCCAGTGCCATGACATCGTGATGACTTTGTTTATTTGTGGATAATGGCATGTTTGGCAACCCGGTATTTTGACAGCTCGATTGTCTTCATTTGTTTAAAATCAAATTCCCTGCCAAGGTGACTACATATGTTCTAATGTGTCAAATTCATGATTCAGCCATGTTGGATTTTTGTATGGGACAGCGACCGAGTTTGTTTACAATTTGCTCTAAAACCACACTTTTCCCTCCCGCGATCTCCTCGCCCATATAGTGACAAAGCTGTATCACCATGTTCCCAGCCAGAGCCGAAAATGGTTTTCATTAAAGAGGCTGATTTTTTAAATAGACGACATGTCAAAATTGGAACAATCGATTATCTTTGAAAGTCATAGGAAAAGTTATTCCAATCGAGCAGAAGACCTGTCAAATGGATAAGATGTCGCCTCTTTACCCAATTCAGTCTCTTCAGTTTTAATGGTTTTACTTATAGCGAATTTGTTTATTATCAGTGCGAAACCGAACTTTTTGTCAGTGCGAACCTCAACCTGAGATAGGTTTTAAAAACAAACGATCAAACTGACGTTTGTCAGAAAACAAGCAGAGCCGATCTTGATACCCGATCCAGGTTGGAGCTGAATAATAAACAAATTCGCTATTAGTATTACCTCAAATTGTAGCAACACGTTCGATTTCGACAGTTCCGTCACCCTCTTTTTCCATTCCAGCGTCATCTGTAGGGGTCTGCACACTGAAAGACGTTTGACCCGTTTCCATTTTTTTATCGGTCGGATTAATTCAAAGCGAGAATAACCGTTTGATAGCTCCGCTAGGAATGTGACACTTGACCACCGACAAACCGACATGACACTTAATTCTAACTTATGCCCGAAAATCGTAAGCGGACGATTTAAATGTACTGTGATCCGAACTGTCAAAACCATAGGAGTTTTTGATCTAGATAAACATAATTTGTCCAGAATAGATCAGACACGTACCAATTCATAACTTTTGCATGCGGGTGCATGCCTTTGCTAAATATTTCCCGCGAACACGGAGCCAGATGTCAGTAGTGTGCTTTGGTCAGAAATTATATTGTTTTTGCTATCATCATTCATGTCGGTTTGTCGGTGTCTTGACTACTGAACGAAGACTGGTGCTCTTCGCTGGCGTGCTTCCTGGAAGTTCTCAATAGCGGCGGTGCTTTAAGCTACAAGAATGCTTTCCATGATTTGTCGCTCAGTTTGATGTTTTCATCCTGGTAGCGACGCTGTTCGTTGGCAAATGAAAAGTCATTATTGAAAAAAAAACGATTTTTTGGAAATGGTCAATGATAAAATAAAAAAAAATACGGGTTTAATTTTTTTGCGATAAATAACAAAACTACCAATGTTTACGAAATTCTGAGAACCACTATATCGTTTGGCTGTATAGGGGAAGTGCACCAGTATGAGCCATAGGTTCCTATTTTGGCCACACATCAGAAAATCGATTAAATTACAATATTCGTGCATTTTGTGGTCGACATGTTTGGTGTACATGATTATGATTTGTACCAACAAACTGAAAGCAACTGAACATCTCAAAATTGTAAACAACGTGAAATATCGTAAAAGCTGGCCAATATGTATAGGAACATGGTCAATACTGGAGCGTTTCCCCGATATATATTAAACAGAGTGGTATACATAAGACCGAGTATAACTCAAGAACGGATCGTCGGTTTGAGCTGTCTTTTTTGTTGTGTTCATCTCCGCTCAACAAACATTTCTTTAACATAACATAATATATATATATATAACAGAGTAGCATACATAAGGCCGCGAATGTTCGATCAAAATTTAGGGTGGAATCGTGAATGCTCGAAATGGTTTAAAACAAAAATTCAATTTTGGGCGAGACCAAGTTCGCCGGGTCTACTAGTATCTTATAAACGTTTCGAACAATAAAAAAAACAATTAATTGTATGTTAATGAGATCGAATTCGAAAAAAAAGGTCTTTTTATGGATACGGTAACTTTTCTATTGAAAAAGTCTGATTTACAATAGATTCTATTGTAGTTTTTTTTTTTTGTTTTTTATAATAAAATGTATGGTTGCTATAATAGATTTTAGTTTTAACAATAGGTTCTATTGGTTTTGTGTGGTACATTTTCATTCGAGTTTCCTTATTTGAATATTGGCCTATTTTGCGGAATATACCATTTTTCGGAATACTTATATCACGTTTGATATTTTAATAATGAACACGAAACGAAAATCAATTATTATATTCATGTGTTTCACTTATACATTTTTGCCAAAACATCAGCCTTATACATTCCATAAGATAAACCACATAGGTCCTATAAGAATGCATAAAAGGTATGTGTGACCGCTTGTACATTTCATTTGTCACATGATCTTCATTAACTGTTTGCAAGGCGTCTGCTTATTAGTTGACTTATACATTTTATGAATAATCAGCAATAGAAATTTGCCAAAAGGTATAAGGAGATTTCTATCCGTGAAGGTAATTCTTCTTAATTTACATTATTAGAGATTTTATGCCTTCGTCCGAAGACATCATATCAAGCATTTACCTTTGAGCGGCAAATGACGCGATTGTACCTGCCTCATAGCAGTCGTACGAGAAAATGGAAGAGTTGCCAGTCTTCTTGATATGTTGTTTTCGCTTCGTCTCTAGAACGTAATTCTTCTCTTTACGATTATTTCAATAAAGAAGGGAACATTTTATCCATTGAATATTTAATTAAAGAAGGGAACATTTCATTCCTTTGACTAAGAAGGGAACATTTCTTTCTTTGAATACATTGATAAAGAAGGGAATACAGTACTTTCCCGTTTTTGTCAGGCCCATCTGAAATTTAAGGCTGACAAAAACGGGAAACTGACAAAATCGGGAAATTTTCTTTTTCAATATTTTAAGCATCAAAATGATTTTAAAATCAAATTTAACCACATTTATCCACTATTAATGGAATTACTGATAAATTTTTACAATTCTTACAACGAAGGGTACCGTTGTCTCGAAAAGTTTGCGTACGGCTTGATGAGCCGGTACGTAATGTTCGGTTTCTTTAAATTCCGCTCGGTTTTCAGCACTGCAACCAAGGCTGAACCTCCATATATCAGTATCAACGTAAATACACTAGCCAGGATCCGTCCCGAGATGTTGGGTATGATTCTGGCTTCCGCGTTGATGGCCTTCGCTGCCTTCTCGTAGGCGTATTCTACGTGGCTATTGATGCCAAACGGTCGTCAAACATTACTCCCAGGCATTTCAACATGCACTTCTCGATTATTGCGTGCTCCCCAACGGTAATTTCTGACCGCTTCAGCGCTTTAAAGTTACTGATCAATACCACCTCGCTTTTGTTGTGAGCTATCTGCAGCTTCGCTCCATGCATTAGGTTTCCAATCATGTCGACCGCCTCGGTCGCCAACATTTCCATCTATCCCATCGTCTTGCCTGTTACCGTAAGACGACGTCGTCCGCAAAGCCAACGATCTCAGCTCGTTTGGGTAGCTTCAGCGTTAGACCGCCGTTTTAAATCACGTTCCATAGCGTTGGACCAAGGATGGAGCATTGTGCAATTCCCACCGTGATCCTAGTCGTAGATCAGAACCCTGTTCTGGAAGTAGCGTCGGCCTCCCAACTAGAGCTGCTGAACGCATTCTTGACGTTGATCGTTATCACAGCGTAATATCGATCTCCTCTCCACTTCTGTTTCGACGCCTTCTGGGCTCTCTCGACAACTGTCCGAATTGCATCCACTTTTGCTCTTCCTTTTCAAAATCCGAACTACCTCTCCGACAATCCTTGCTCACTCTCCGTGCATTTCGTCAGCCTGTTCAGGATGAAACCTCTCCAAGAGTTTTCCGAGTGTATCCAGCAGGCACTACTACGAGTTGCTCGTTGGTGACTTCGTCGTTATCTCACTCTCCGTCTCCGTACGATGTAGGTGGCCAGGTCGTTGAATCGTGCTTCGAAAAAAGTCATTCCACGATGAATTTCAGGTTCTTTAAGCATATTTCAGTGGGCATGACTTGACATCTGATCTTCGTCATCACGACACGGTGTGCGTCGTTGGCAGCAGCGTCTCGACCCAGCTTCAGTTGACAGTTCTCTGCTTTATTTCTCGTTTATGTTATCGTTATTTAGCTCCAGTTTCCTCGGCATGGTCGTGTCACAT